GCGGTTAAATGTGCTTCAGGACTCGGAGCGGAAGCCAGACATCGCCATATATAATGCATTCGAACAGGAATGCCACGCGACTTCTCTCATTCTCTTCACGAGGCCATATCGTAGCATTCCGGACTTTACAGTTGCAGGGCATTCTGCTATCGGCTGGAGCACAGTGTTCCGGTCACGATGATCCACGGATCGGAAGGTAGACTACCGGGGCAACACCGGCACATAAATCCTCATCAAAGCAGTTAGACCAGCTTCTAGGATATCCTCAGAGCTTTTCCTCGAAGAGAGACACTAAGGACAGCTCTCGATCTCTACGAGAAGATACGGATCCCCCGCTCCAAGGCGATCCAAGAAGCCAGTAATTTAAACGGAGACACTCTACACTACCCAGATGGGTCGCTAAGGTCTGATGCCAGTCAAATTCTAATACCCGTGATTGTTTGCAGGCTCGGCCTGCAGCCATTTTCCTCAATGTTCTCATTGCGTAGCAGGTGATAACCATTGCAATCATTGTTCAGGGGAGCTAGATCACACGCACGTATCTGGCAAACTAGCAACACCACAACTATTTTAGGCAGTCTGTTCACCAGTGCCATCTCGAGAACACTTTTGGCCGTATGCAAATAATACTGTAAGCAGAAGGTCTCTGTGGATCCCACCACGAGCTTCTGGGATACATGAGTCCTGTATTCATCACCATGCTAGCTGGGTCCCACCGACAGCTTGATCACCACATGTCTTCTGGCTATCCCGAAGTCCACACTGTCCTCCAGCACGACGGCCTTGCTTTTCTCGATCTAGCAATAGCCGAAACAACCTGCTCCCGGCTTTCTTGTATTCTTCTCCAACCCCACCACTAGCGATCAGTGCTTCTTCAATGGAACTCAATTGAAAAGGAAAATCACGCCCCCCTCTTGAGACGGTCTTTTGCTCGACGTCGATGGATATTTCCTCACCCTCCCGCAACGAATTATAGAACTCGTCCTCTTTAATCACGATCCCCAGCAGCGCCAGGTTTGATTGATTGCGTGAATAGATGAAAGCGAAAGACTTGGCGATGACCGCCTTGACACCAGCCCCCTTCAGAGCTCGGGGAGCTTCCTCGCGCGAAGAGCCGCATCCAAACGCGTTTCCCGCTACCACGATATCCAGGCCACCATCACGGACCAAAGCCGGAAAGCCAGGGCGTACATGTTCGAAGCAGTGAGTTCCCAGAGCTTCGTCAGTGGGGGCGAGCAGAGCTTGCGCTGGAATGATCTGAAGCACCGGGGACAATGTTAGTCGGAGGACTCAAAGTTACATTTTGTGGTTTTATCGCTTGCATTCTGGAATGATATGAGCTCACCGCGTCTGTGTCAACATTATCACCGAACAAAATACATTTTCCTTTAATGCCTGGTCGGGCCTCGGGCTGTGTCTGAACAAGTAAATTGGTCCGGGTGATAGTCGAGCCTGTGTCTTCCGTGGTAGGTTTCAACTCCGGTTCGGAATACTCCACAGGTATATACTCATCGACCCACACCTGTCGGAGCTTGTCAAATTCGTTGCGGTTGATCGCGTGGAGAAGCCAAGATGGGTCCGTGACTTTCATTGAGAAGGAGGAGGCTGCTACCGTTGCAGCGGACGCGAGATTTCCATATGAGCCTGCAGAGATTATCCTCGTGTTAGAAGCCAGAACGAAGAGAGTAATATGGATAATGAGATACTATACCTGGGCCCATCCGATTCGGGAAATTTCTATTCTGCGATGAGAGCCAAACCTCCCCTTCCCCAGCTACATCCGCTGCCACGCCTACGCAGTACGAGCATCCAGGAGCGCCGATCTCGAACCCAGCTCGTTCAAACCAGAAGAGCAAGCCCAGGTCCCGGAGTCGATTCAAGATTGGAATGGATCCTGGAGTGACTTTCCGCTTGCCGTTTCCATTTGGCTCCAGGCCCGTCTTGAATCCCTGGCGAAGCACCAAAGCAGCGAGAATCAAGTCTTCCTCGGCAGTTGTGCAAGCTCCAATGAAGCAGCCATCAAGCTCTTTTCCGAGGACGTCACCGACGGGTACGGTGTTGTCTGGACTTGGATAGAGCGCCACAACCGAGTTAACGTCGGCAAGGTCAATCTCGAACACCTCTGCATACTGGGCTCCTGGGTCAGGTTGGAGATAAAGCGCTGTATCTTTGTGCCTAGTGTCCTTGCGGCGACTGAGAAAAGCGGAGATGATGCCATCGGGGACAAAGACACCTGCGATGGCACCGAATTCAGTAGCCATGTTGGAGATGGCAAAACGCGCATCGGCAGACAGATACTTCAAGCCCGGGCCCATGAACTCGACTGCTCTGCCCGCCGCGACAGTGTTTCTCTTCAGCCGACCAAGGACATACAAGATTATATCTTTTCCGCCGATCCCGAACGGAGGTTCGTTGATGAATCTGATCCCTAAAATAGGGGGGATGTTAAGCCATGTTTCGCCGGTGATCATCGGTATCGTCACGTCTGCTGCGCCGAGCCCAATTGCCAGAGCTCCGAGGCTGTCGATATGTTAACACATCCCAAGGCACGCCAGCTGAGGCGGGACATCATAAGTACCTTCCTGCGGAGCAGGTATGTGAATCGGAGCCGACAATCACTTGGCCTGGTTGGGCTCTCTCACGACAAAACTCAGTATGCATAATCGTATAGTTCGGTCCGTAGTAGTCGACGATTCCTATCTCGTTCGCTGCCGCCTCCGCGAGGTCAATCGTCCGCTTCACCTGAGGACGAGAGTTGATCCTCGGGTCAACGGTGTGATCCTGTGCCAGCCATATCCGGTCTTTACGGTAGACCGGTGGCCGACCAAGCTGCGAGTACGTCTTATTGATGCCCACCCATGATGCTTCGCTCGACAGCACCCAGGAGACGCGAAGGACAACAACATTGCCGGGCCTCACATCGTCGATTGATTCGAGGTCGATAGCGTTTGCGGCAATGATTTTCTCAATCAATGTTAACGGACGGCGACGTAGCTCTTGTGGCTCCATCCTTCAGAACAAATCTGTAGCCCGGATGGGCTAGGTAGTAAGTGATTGGAATTCAGAATATACCTCTCTTCAATGCTGTTCACCCGAACGCTATTAGGGCAGTTTGGCCAATGCTAAATCCTGAAGAAGTTCGGTGTTACCAGTATATCCAGTCCTACACAGACACACCCTACTTCTGAATACCGCGGAGCATTAGATCTTTCTGACAGCCAGCTAGGGAATGCTGCTGCTCTCTATCGGAAAGTTGTACAGTCGGTCGAGGGTTGTGGTCCCAGGGCCCCACTCCGACTCTCCGAGCCAGTATTTTGCGCTGAGCGTTCATCTCTATTTGGTTCTGAGTAATCATACAATCGACATGAGGATACCCACAAGATCAGATACTTGGGCTTTGAGCAAATGCCGGGGGAGTGGCCTACCATCGGAGGGTATTGAAGTATGGATTCTTTAATAGTTTTCCTCCGTTGTCACCAATTGATATTGGCCGCTTTCATTTACTGGACTTCTTCAGCCTCGATCTTTCTCCCGCTACCTGTGTGATTGCACACGGTCGAGTACGACATGCCTCCTCAACGAAATGTCCAAGCGGAACGACTGCGCGCAAAGCTGAACGAGGCTGCCGCTGATCCGCTGAAGATTCTACCCCATGGAATCGCACATGACGGACTCTCGGCCCGTCTTTGCGAGCAGGCAGGGTTCGAAATCGCCTTCATGGGCGGTTTTGCGGTCTCGGCATCCCATGGCCTCCCAGACACAGGCTACCTCCAATGTGCAGAAATGTGCGAGCGAATTCGTCAGATTACAGACGTGTGTTCACTTCCGCTCCTGGCTGATGGAGATACGGGCTATGGGAACGCGATGAACGTTAGACGAACGGTGCATCAATACGCGAAGGCTGGAGCCGCTGGTGAGCATTTCTCAGCTTTTGAATAACGCCCACATTAAGATAATGTCTCCAAGGCATCATGTTGGAAGACCAAGAGTGGCCAAAGAGTACGTCTGACTTGTCAAATGCGCCTGTCTCTTCGCTGGGTGGTGAATGCTGACGAAGCCAAAAGGATGTGGACACATGGATGGTAAGAGGGTGATCGCGCGGGAGGAAGCTGTGGCTCGGATACGCGCTGCGGTGGAGGAGCGCAACACCGGTATGTCCTCATGTCACCTACCGCATCACTTTCATCTAGCGTGGCTTCACAGGACACTGACTAGCGGGGGAACCCTCTCTCTCAGGTATTGATATATTCATTCAAGCTCGTACGGATGCGCGTTGTGTGTCGTTCGAAGAGGCATTACTAAGGGCAAAGCTTTTCAAAGAGGCCGGTGCTGACGGGATCGTTGTGGATGCCCTCACGTCCGTGGAGGAGATGAAAATACTCTGCCAAACCATTCCGGGCCCCATTTGTGCAAACAACCTCGAAGGGGGCAAGACACCGATCCTTACCCAGAAAGAGCTCGCTCGAATCGGGTTTGCCCTCGTCTCTTATCCCTTGTCTCTGGTAACTGCATGTATTGTTGGCATGCAGAAGGCTCTCGAAGAAATAAGAGAGGATGTTAGGGACCGGAAGCCTTTGATGTCTTTCAGAGATGTCTGCAATACTGTTGGCTTCGGCGAGTATGTTCAAACATCTGAAAAGTATAAGACCGACGCATGAGCAAGGCACTTCGGTCCGAGAGGTACTTATCAATCCTAGATATAAGTAGTATATATCCGAGTTATCCTGCATTGGCCAGTCGTCTCTTGTGTAAAGAATGACCTGCAGGAATATCAATATCAACTACAGCGGCCGAGCCTCCGAAAATCAGCGGCGATGCACATCATGAGTCAGCCGGTGCATGAACGGGAAATTGCAAGAACCTCAAGGCGCTCGTGCCGGTCTAGAAGAACAAGTCCAATCCAACCATGTTCTAGATATAGGGTTTTCCTCTCTCACAACCCTACTCTAAACCTGGGCTATGTGTGGTAGTCTTCCGATCCTTTCGAAGCCCTTCACCCCTTACTCCATTTTAGGGTCCATGCCTCTAATTTTACATTCCACGACAGCCGTCCGACCAGACATTATCTCCCTAATGGCCTCCTTTATAACTGCAGCGAAATCTCCCGCTGTTTCCGCGTATCCCGTCCACACCATGGCTCCACCGGCTGCCTTGGCGATACCTGCGTAGTCCGGCGACGGATCGAAGCTGATATGAAGGTCTCTGTTGGACATCCGAGACCCTTCGCCTGTAGGGTGAACGAGCTGCATCGAAACTCGCGGGGCATTCCACCCCTTGTTGTTCAGAATGATGGTGAGGATCGGGATGCGATAGCGGGAGCTGAGCCAGTACACACTGCTGGGTGCTGAGAACAAATAAGTCCCATCGCCCACAATCTGAGTCACAATGGCGTTCTCGGCGTCTCCGTCTTTATCCATGGTCGCTAGTTTGATACCCAAGGACGCCCCTCCAACCCATCCCAGGCCGGTCGCTCCGCTTGATAAGTAACTTCCTGGGACAGTACACCGTAGCTGATCATATATGGAAGCCGTATTAGTCACCGCCTCCACAGCGTACGTGGTCGAATTTGGCAGACTGCGCTTCAGCTCCGCGGCAATGAGAGCGGCTGTGAGAGGTGTAGGGGAGCCCGAGGCTGGCATACCAGCCTGGGCGATATCAGACAGTAGCTGATTGTGGCTTTGTGCCCGGGAAACGGCGGAGTCCGACTCTAGAAGACCTTCCAGAGTGGTTACATACTCGGGCCTCGATAGATGGGCGTTTATCTGCTTGATCGCCGTATATGAGTCAGCTTGCCACAGACCGACAGCGTCAATATGATACATCGCCATGCTCTTCTTCAACGGGTCGATGTCGATGTGATAGACCTTTGCTGCCGATGATGGTCTGCATTTAACGGGGACGTATGGGACGTCGCAATCCAATACCAAGATGCAATCGGCCTTCGGGATGCTAGGGTGCGATGAATATTTTCCGCTGAGCCAGCCTGGATGATTGGCCGGAAAGCACATATCTCCCATCGAAGTGTCGAGAACTCTCAGTCCTGGGATGGCATCTGCAAGCTTAACGAGCTCTGACGGGGCCTTTTCATTTCTACCGGTGTAGCCTGTTATGATCAGTGGGTCTTTGGAAGATACCAATGCCTCCGAGATCTCTTGCACTGCCTCATCAGGGAGAGCCGCTGGCCCGATGGGCTTCCAGAACTTCGGCTCGAGCCTCGGCGGTTTGGATTCTCGCTCCAGTGTCTCCCGCGCTGCATAAAGATATACCGGGCCTTTGGGAGCTGAGGAGGCGATTTGCAGGGCCCGAGCAACCACTTGCTTGACATTGTTGCTGCTCCTGATTTCGTTGGTGTATCTGCAGTATTGACGGACTATTGCTGCTTGGTCGGGAATGTCCTGGAGGTAGTTGACAAACTCTGTTCTTGTACCGCGCTCTTCACCTTCCAAGGTCGAGGGACACAGCCCAGCAAAAATCAGGACGGGAGTTCGTGCGATGTGTGCATTGTGAAGGGCACAACCCAAGGCCTGCGTCCCTACATCAACGTGGACAATGACCGCCTGAGCTTTCCCGGTCACTCTCGCATACCCATCTGCCATAGACAAGGCGACCATCTACGTAACTGGTGATCAGAACTTTGTCAGGGGCTGGCAGTCGGGAGTCAAAATGAGACGAACCTCACTGGGGCAAGTGATTATCTTGGGCAAATTCGGGTTTTCCATCTTCTCCTTTTTCGCAATTGCTTCCATGATTGCTGGATGGTCGGAGCCGAGATTCACGAAGCAATAGCTGACACCACCCTGGACCTATTAGCCAAACTACCACCGCATCCCATGTTCTGACGAACCTCCCATAGCGCCTCTAGAAGAGCTTCGGCGCCTGTGTATGTCCTGTAGCCATGCTGGTATCAGAAGACTCCCAATAGTTGTGCTCATAGTTAACCTACGACATGATTTGCTTTTGGAGCCCAGGCGATCTTGAGAAATGTGACTTGGGTATTGATTCACTACCGCATTCGGTCGACGATGGATCGGGTCCTATGCCAACAACTTTGACGGCTTAGCTAGGTATAACCCATGCACTCTCAGTCTGCCTCGAGATGAGATCTTCGAATTGTTTAGCACGCGATAGGTGGATGGGCTGCGAGCCGAATTCTCTGTCGCTAGTTCATGGAGAGTTTCGGAGACGATCTATTATCCGCATCGGAGTTGGGGCTTTCCGCGGACATAGCCGAAGTAACGGATAGGGAGCCCATAACGAATAGCCTAGGCCTGTATCATTCAACCCTTAGTACTTTGTTGCAGCGCTGGTATACCATATCATGGCCCGCATCCGAAGGCAAAATGGACCTCATTTACAGTTTTGCGGTGTCTCACGTGTTCTAAAGAGGCCAATTCCGTACTCCCACTCGGTTATCCTTGCTGGTGCACCTGCCTTGAAGCATCTTTCAAATTCCTCGTCGTAATCCAAGCCATTAAGCTAATTCAGCAAAGAGCTTAAACCCACCGGCGGCGAAAGAGTACGGCTATCTCAGTGTATGTTCAAGACAGTCCAGATACACTGTACCAGCACGCCAGAAAATCAAGAATGAAATAAATCCTATTGGTGGCGGAGATAATTCCGGTATATCCAAGGTGCAGTGCCGCGCCGCGTTTTCTACCCCCGGGGGCCTTCTCAGTCGCCCATACGCAGGTTAACCCAGGGGAGAGAACAACTGATCCCTCCGGAGACCAGTAGAGTCAGCAGAGAGGGTTCAAAAGACATGCCACTCATCTCTCCTCATGTATCAGAGGAACAGTAACCGCCAGCCTTTTCCAGACCTGCCGGCGGCTAACAAGTGGCGTCGATAGCTTGGCAAAGACTGTCTCAGAATCTCGGGTATAAGTTGATGATAGTATTGCTTTCTAATCTTGACACACCACCACCTCAACATTCTTCAGTATTGTGCACCCCAACTCTTGGATTTTTGACAGCTACCTGGCTTCGCCTATCTCCAACCTTGCATCATCGCAGGGTCTCAACAATAAGATGAATCTCATGGATATGCCAAGCGAAATCATTCTCGCCATAATAGATCGGACTGTTCACACCTGTGAATTATATGAAGGGCTTCAATTACGCCTCCTTAACCGTGAGTGCCTCGATTTGCTATATGCAAAACCAATCGTTTAACGTGTCAAAGGTTTCTTCAACACCGAGATCCTCCGATCTTATTTCGTTACCAGAGTGGTGGACTTTCATTCAGAGGCAGTAGTCACCAAAGCCAACGCAATGGGGGACGTAAATGCTGCAAGGCTTTTACAAGGACACCTCAGTGCCGTTGAGAGCTACGCCGCAAAATTGCCCTGGCTTCTCACCGTCAAATCTGCCCTTCAGCTTGCACCAAAATCTAGAGACTACGAGGATGACGTCGTCCATGAAACCATTCCTGAAGAAGAGATCATGCAACGAAAGATTTGGATCATGTCGTTAGCTGTTACAGCATACCTGGGAGTTCCAGAGGTTTTGTCTTGTCTCGATCCCAACAAGCAACTCCAATGCCGATACAATCACCCAACCCCAGCAGAATTTCCATACCTCAAATGCAAGCCATGGTGTGTCCCATTTCGAGGCAAGCCTAGACGATACGAGTCGGCCTTCGACTGGGCACTTTTGATGGTAGTGTACCTCGACGACGTCCTAGCTGTACAAAATATGCTCAGCGACCACTCCGACAAATTCAAATCAAGCCCAGAAATACCCCCGTCTTTTCAGTTAGCTGCGAGACGCAAATCTGTTCCCACACTTCGGCTTCTTTTTGACGGACTTGGTGATGCAGCCGACCCTGATAGAATTCCAAGTTTAGACTATGGTTATCCAGAAGGCACGACGGATAATTACGCAAAATCTCACCGCCACAAACGTTGGCAGTATTTGAAACTTGCACGCGATGTTTTAGCTCAAGCGGTGAGCAATTGAATGCGCACTGCTATTCGTCTTCCTGGAGAACTCTGCACAATTATCAGATGAGTCGAGTAATAGACTTTTGTTGTTTTCAACGAGCCGATCTTGGTGTATAACGCGACAATAGAATTACTTTTTAGCCCATTCAAAACTAAACATGATGATAAGGCAGTGCTGGATGCATCGCCGCATGATTCTGCACAACCCTTTTGGCAAGTTCAATGCGATTGCTTCTAGCAGTGGCATCGCTTCGGGCATGAACGCTTCAAGATAGAGATCAGGAGTTCGGTACTAACAGCGGAGGCGAACCATGCTTTTCTACTGTGTACCGGAGAAACAGTTTTGAAAAAGAGCTCAAGCGTGAGAATATCAGTACCATTTTAGGCACGTGAATGATCTATCAGAACAGATACCTCGAGGATACCCATGTGCTGGAGAGAAGATCCAAAAGTGAGGGTAAGGTTTAAACTGCTAACCTAGTCCGGGCGTCGGATATGAGAGACCAAATCGATACAACAGATAAAGACCAAAGAACACCACGCACTGTCCAAGACCCAACGAGATGCAAGTGGAAGGGTTCCCACCACTATAGCCACCTACAAAGTGCCACCTTGCAACTGGCGCCAGGCCAGTGATGGCGTAATCGCCATGATGGAGTCGACAATGGGATTGAAGAGTTCTGTGGCGAGGAATGTCTCCAAACGGACTTTGACTTCACTCCTGTGTTCTACCCGATCGAAATCAGCATAAAGGTGTCGAGTGCTTCATCAGGCCAAACAGTCACACTGATAATTTGCTTTTTGCCGAAAGCATTGTGGTGGTCCGCGAGCATCCAATTCACGCCGCGAACATTGTCAGTGCGAAGGATCGCATCGAAGGCTTGTTGTTCTGCTGAGCCTGCAGGTGCATTTGCATGAAAGATGATCTTCTCGCCATCCGTCTCGTAAGGCTTGCCCATATCCTGAAAAGCTTTCTTGAGAGTGTTGATTGTTCCTGGGTTGCTCACACTGCATCTTACCACGGATTCAAGCTTATTGACGTCCGGCCCCGCCAGCTCACTGTATCGCTGGAAGACAAGCTCTGACCACGTCAAACGTCCTTCGTCAACGGCTGTGGCATCGGCGCGCGCGTTGCTGTAAAACGCCACCATGGTTTTATGGTCGCTCGAGACTCCGGAGATGTTGATTTCAGCTCCCTTGGCTTTCACTGTCGTACGAACAAATTTAAGCTTGAGGAGTGGACGCATCCTTGCTATTTGTTGCGGAAGGCTCGTCTTTGGTCGCAGTATCTTCGGTGGGCGTCGGAGTGGGTGAAGGCGTTTGGGCTGGCTTGGTAGGTGTAGGTGTAACTTCTGGAGCAGCGTCGGTTGGACTTGGTGGTGGGACCTTTGCCGTGGGTGCTGCAGGTTCCGGTGTCGCTGGTTCTAGAAATCCGTCTCCATCCCCAGTTTCTGGTGGATCAGAATCACCAGGTTCCAAGAAGCCTGGAGAATTTGCATCTGGCTCGTCGGGCTCAGTCTATGGGCCGACCACCGGTTCCGGGGTAAGAGAGTCTGGCTCAATAGGGTCGACTATATCAACGCGAGGTATCTTTAGACTTCTGCTCTCGATTCCACCGAGAGCCACTGAGAGACTAAGCTTCAGCGTATCCTTTGCCAGCAAAGTATACGAACGGCCTTTCAGTTTGGGTCAGCACCTGTCAGTCTATGTGTGTGTATAGTCGTACCTGGAAGGGTGTCGATATCATGATCTTCTGCTCTTCGAGCCAGAAGGGCGCGAGCCGCTGCATCATGGTGAAGACATGACACTGCAATGCCGAGTATGATTGTTTGTAGGGAGAGCTTCATGGCTTTCTACAGCAGGCGGGATTGAGATGGAAAACGCTATTGTCGACTTGATACTACTTATTCAGCCCGTCGTCGTGGGGTTTGAGGCAACTGTAGTATCTTTGAATGAAAGATTATGGCCGGAGACGTTAGGAGAGAAGGCTTACCTGTTTATATGCAGCTCTTGGAGCAAACTTCTTCTATCAGCTCGCCTCGGCGTCAATGAAGCTTGCGCAGGTATCGAAATAACCAAATATGCATGGATCTTTGAGACTCAATTAGAAGTAAAGTGTAGCCTGCTTGGCCATCAAAAACAAGCGCTTCATGAAGCGTATTGTTGATTCCATTTTGCTTTAATTGTGGTCTGACGTGGGCCGATGATGTGTAGACACCAGTCCGGTGTGCCATGATGAGAGCAAAAAAGATTTTGAGAATAGATCATCCCGTACTGACTAGGAGCCAATTTGCAGTATGGGTATAAGCCACAATGCATTGTTAATATGTGCCTGTCGCGCGCTTATTCGAACAAAGTAGTATGGATATCAATGCTAGTCCGTAGCAGCAACAGCACCGAAATGTCGGGGATTTGTACTGTATGACGAGCCGCGCTGTTCCACAGGTGCTGGGTATCTGAAGCAGTTCATTTCCCGCCGACGCCAGGAGCATTGCACTTGGTCTGCCGGCCATGTCGATGACCGTGAGGCTTACCGATGTATGATCGTGCTCTCTCAAGAGGCGCCGGCCCCTTCTAGCAGAACCTGAGGAACCAACATCGCGCTTGGAGCTTGGGCTAGGTAACTCGATTTGCTCATTATCATACTTGGCATTGAGTCGCATATACAATTGCGACTTCAGCATCGTGAAGCTGTGGCTAAATCTCTAATTCAGGCTGTGAAAGCAGTTACATTGCCACATTCAATTTTTGTCTTCGCAGACCGACACTAAACGCTTCAGCGCTTCAGGAAGCCTAGATCTTGGCACTACGAGAAAATGCTTGTCAGACCTTTGTATTTGAGTAGATCGTAAATTGTTGCATTCACAACGATACATCAACCAATGAATATCGCAAAAGCCGGCTCGAGACTACCTAGCTACCTGATACAGTACAGAATGGATAAAAGCAAACGACAGAACCAAAACACCACAATTTAGTACAAAATCCAGAATGCTGTGTCATTTGCAACGACTTCAATGACCGCTTTTAGAAGAACATCGACATTGTCGCATAGACGATCAAAAGTGAAACTGCCAGCTTCGAAGGCGTTTGAGGAAAGCCCCGTGCCAAATTTGCTGTCACGGAGGGATCTGTTGCTGGCTGAGCGTCATTGACAATCTTCAAACAACTGAGGTGCACGTCTAAGCCCTGGAGGGATCTCTTCAACGAAGCAGGGAGGCCGTCGTCGCTGGAATTGTTGGAACTAGGTTTGAAAACCGTCAGAATTGGTGTCACACCTCCAAGGAAAGGCTCCGTGATTTGGACTTCGCCAGGGGCCGTGAGGTTTTGACTCTCCACATGAGTCAGTGAATAGCCTTTGCCGGTGGTCGGAGAGCAGTCATCCAAGACGACGGGTAGGGGTGCGGAAGGTCCAGTGATCGCTGTTCACCAAAGGTATGTTAGCCCTCGTCAAAACGAGATTTTATGCAGTTGATCATGTTCTTCACGTACCTTTGGCATTAATGGTTGCCCATGAACCGCTCTGAGCAACACCACAGCTTGGAGGGGCTTTGTTTACCAATTCTGACGCAAGGACATCACAAACGTCCCCCGAGGCCGAGTCGAGTGTTGCCAGGGTCGAGGTTGCCTGATTTAGGAGATCGGTGACGCACCCAGCAGACAATGCATCACTGCAAGTCCCAATACTGGTTTCGATGTATCCTGGAAACTTAAGCTGGCTAGTGATACCGTCAAAGAAGAGCGCACATCCAGTGGTGTTGCTAAGTTTCTCCAAGTCGAGCCCAGGCGGACTTCCGAGATAGAAATTCCTGAAGTATATGGACTCGGTGTCATTCGTAGGGTCGGAGGTGGAGGAGATTCCAACTGTCCAAGTGAGTGGCTGAGGGGTGATCGTTGAAGTCACATTCGCGATTCCGACAAGTGTGTTCACTGCCCCATCAACAGGACAATCAAACTGGAACGGGGAATTCTGGCTTTTCGGGCAATTTATCGCATTGCACCCAATGAGTTGCGCATTGACGACGTTGCCACTTAGATGCAAGGCGATGAGGCAGACAGACAGAGCAAAGGCCGGGTTATAAAGAATGCTCAAGCTCGATTTCATGATGGAAAATTGGATTGGCATGTGCGAAACAGACAGTAATTGATCAAATAGAGAAAGCTTTCAAAGTACATTTGACAAGAGGAAGATTGTGTGAATTCGTTGGGCAGACCACGATTTGCAAGAGTTCAGCTGCTGAGAGGGAAAACATATAAGATAGCAGGGGTGTGGACGCAGCTCCCCCTCGGCGGCGCAGTCAATCCGTCAGCGCCTAAGTCAGACATACTTAGCCTGTCGCTTCAAAGTCGCACCCTGTCAGCCACGGCGTATATCGAAGAGTTCTAAGATTGCGAAACCTGGTCTACGTGGTCGAAGAAATACTAGAAAGGTCAAGGGTGTCTCAACAGCCGCTCGAGAAAGCTTGCTTTTAAGCCAAGCAAATGCAAACGCTTAGTTGTACACTAGCACATCTCTAGCCTAAAGTAGCTACTAACACAGTAAAAGCTAGGCGCCCCCCTAGATAGTACCTGAGCCGAGGTTCGTCTGCCAGGGTGTCATACCTGAGGCAACCTGCAAGTAGCAGACCTGACGGCCAGGTGCTGTTTTGATTCTGCAGCGCAAGGCAGAATACCCACGCGATCTCTTCTGATTATTCCAAGTACACAGTCCGTGCTAAGTGCCGATGCCAGTCATTATACCATCAGACTCACCAGGAGGAAGTGCAGTAAGCTACCCCCTTCACGCTTATTCCTTGTCCAGAAAGTCCATGCCCTACATCATCAGGCTCGTTTTACAGGTCTCAGGCATATCCACAAGGGTGGCTTTTCCCACAACGTATAAACTTTTTGAGCATGCACCCATCCTCCTGGGGTGTGATCGTACAGCTCCAAGTCGAAATTCCAGACAATTTTCGTCATGATCATGCGCATCTCCATGTATGCGAGGCTACTGAGTGATAAGCTTCATGCATACCGAAAGGGAAGACAAGAAGAGGCATGAAAGCACAAAGATGGGCTTACTTTTTCCCAAGGCAATTCCGAGGGCCGTAAGAGAAGGGGTTGAATGCGTTGTGATTATCCTGTTTGAACCTCTCGTTACCGAGCCAGCGTTCAGGGAGGAATTTTTCCGGGTCGACAAAGTAGTCCGGGGAATGGTTGATTGCATATTGTGATATGTACACTCCACACTGTGCCCTGGTTAGCTTGTACCTCCATATTGACCTGAAAACGGCAAGGGAACATTGGGGTCAAGGATAGTTTTCGGGACTTACTCCTTCTGGGAAGTAATAACCAGCAATCGTATCACCCCCTGGTGGAACGATTCGACCAAATCTAGAAATGTTTTTGAGTTAGTTGGATTTGTTGCCGCAGACTGCAAACTCCTGAGGTCAGACATACCCAGTGGGAACTGGAGGATAGAGCCTCAGCGTCTCATTAAACACTGCGAGAAGAAAGGGAAGTTCACTGTTGACTTTTTCGGCAGTGATGTCTTCCTCGTTGGCGAATGTGTCTCGGACTTCCTTTACCAGGCGTTGCCAAGTATGTGGGTTTGACAGCGTGAAGTAGGTCGCCGCCGACAGGGTTGTCGCGGTTGTTTCGCTGCCAGCATTGAGGAGCATCTGGGCTGTCGTTTGGATCTCTGGCAGACTCAGCCCTTGCAACTTCTCAGATCCGGCCGTCGGAGTCAAGAAATCGGACCGCGCGACTTTTATCGAAAGCCTCTTGTCCACGCTTGCCACGACGAAAGACGCGAGATCTTTTCGCCTCTCCAGCGTAGTTTGCGGGACGTAGTGTTTGATAAAATACTTGAGAAGGGGAAAGCGTTGCTGTGCGTTGAGAAACGTCCACGCTTTGAGATTCGCCAGCATCAACTCCACAATGGGGTGGTAATGCGAACTCTCCAGGCAATGGAATAATTGGCCAAATGTCAATTCTGCAATGATATCGAATGTCGTGAAGTTATACCAGGCGACCGCATCGAGCTTCGTCCCTGAGACGGCGTGTTCATGAAGTCGTGAGATCAGCAGATCTACGTATTTCATCATCAAGGGGAGTTGTTGACGCAGGGCATTCTCTGAAAACGCATGCGAGAACACCCTCCGCTGTCGGCTGTGGTCCGGTCCATAAGCGTCGATGATTCCTGGAGTTCCGTTGACCGGTGGTGGGAAGAAATGCCGGTCTTTCTCATACCCTTCTCTCTGTCCGGTCCTGAAGCCATAGATGGACTTCCACGCATCGGCTGTCGAGAAAGACACTTCGTTCGGAGCCAGACGTACGACAGGGCCATATTTCTGATGCAAGCGATGGACTTCTTCCACCGAGAGACCCCGCAGAAGTGTCCTCACATGGTTCAAGTTGCTCGCGGCTGACCATTTGGGTCCTGGAATGTGCCGCAGAGGGTGAAAGAATATATTGTACACGCCTGCTAGAACGAAGCGGAGGATGGCCTGAAAGGTTTCTATTAGAAAAGTGGTCGCGAAGAACGCAGTGCAAGTCCTTACAGATACCCCTATAATCACTGGGATCCACCACAGAGTACCGTGGGAGCTAGTCCCCTCTTGTATAGGGGAATGAATGTACGCCATCAGACAACACGTTCCCGGGACGTTTTCTTTCTGAACTCAACGGTCTGGCTAATGATAGATTCGAGACATTTTTATCCTTCGATATCGGGGTATTAGCATAAAATACATTGTCGGACTCCTCATGTGGAGCTAATATGCGCTCCGACAGCTCTCGGAATCTGGGCACGTTCCAAGATACAGATTCAGTCCCCAAAGATTTGGAAGACCGGGCTTTGTGCAGGTTATGAAAGGGGATGCGAAGTTGTGTGTTTGCCAAGTTTATGCCTCTTGATGGTTACAACTGCTAGTGTCTCCGAGATAACGGCGATGAATCGATTCTTGAAAACGCTGTACTTGACAATTTAAGAGAAACCACGAGAAGATGTAAAAGAGCGTGGGTTAGGCCCGTGCGAATAAGAGACGATGAATTTACCGAAGTTGCGGCAAACTATGGCCTGGGGTCTATCCGATGAGTAATGCTAAAGAGTTCTAGGTGATAATCGAGATTTCTGTATGTTCGGGTGCCGGGAATAGCGTCGGGTACGGGGTTCAACTCTCAGACTCAAACTTCCGCCATGTATTCCAAACCGCGGGACGATTTACCATGGGTAATTCAGTTCAGGACGAATGTCCTAAGGGTGCCAGTTTTGAAAGCTCAAGATGGTGGCAGCTCGTCATTTATATTGAAAATTCCAATCATTACACACTGAGAAGCTTTGTTTGAACACCTACCTACTTCGGTGCCAATATCGAATGAGATTCACCCGCAATCTAGAACATGTCGCCTTTCAAAGTCATCATTGTGGGAGGTGGCCTGGCAGGCTCTCTATTAGCAAATGGACTTGTGAATAACAACGTTGATGTAAAGGTATACGAGAGGGACAGCGAAAACACTGAAAGAGAAGGCTACCAGATTCGACTCGGTCACTACAGCTTAAGTGGATTTCGAGCTTGTTTGGATCCCGAGCATATTGCCCTGATTGAAGAGAAATATGGCTTATCGTCTGGTTCCAATGGAGATTCACGGTACACTGCACCATCCGTCTATTCTCCCAAATCCAAGCGCATCATTGACCTTGGAAAACTCCCCGGCTACACCATCTCCACCACCATCAATCGTGTCGTTCTGCGCAATTTTCTTCTCGGACCACTTAGACAGAAGAGCAAGGTCGTATTCAATACGTCCTTTTCCCATTTTGAAATCATCGAGAGCACGCAGTCCAGGGAGAAGGTCCGTGTTCATTTTGCAGACGGGACTAGTGACACGTGCGATGTGCTGATAGGAGCGGACGGGAGCAGCTCGAAGGTATTGTCAATTTGCACTCGTCGAGAGACATTATTTCTGATATTCAAAGATCAATCGTCAACTCGGCCTCCAAAACATTGTTGACATTACAAGTCACTTTGTATTCAATGTCAAAGGAGACTTACCGCCTGAGCGGATTCGAAAACTCCCTAAAAGACTCCGAGATGGTCCCATTTTGGTCTTCCATAAGGGAGCCATTCTGTTCTACGGGCGTAAGCTTACTCTTCTCAAGATTTTCATCTAATACTAAATACTACGCTAACCAAAATCCTAGTGTACCTGCCAAAAAAGAAGGGGACTGACGGCAAGGTCAATGAACTTTTCAATTATGACTACGCTGAAGCTTCTTTCTATTGGTCTTTTCTCATTCCAAAGAAGGATTCTGTATATGAGAACGAGTCTCAGATACCCGACCGCCTTCAATTCTGCTTAGACTATGTCAAGGACTGGGCCCCTGAATTGTATGTAATCGTGCTGATTCAAATGAAAATCTTCTGACTTGTGGAAAGCCAAGTCATGTTATCAGTCGGAATGGAAGATGGTAGTCACCGCGGAGTGTCCATGATTTCGGCGCGGGCGAGTACGAAGCCATTGTTACAGTGGCGAGATGACCTCCAAGGAAGCATGACTGAAAAAAGTAAAGAAGCTGGCCATCCGCGCGTGTGGTTAATTGGAGATGCTGTACATGCTATGCAACCTCACAGGTATGTCTTTTGTCATTGCGGTCGAGCAAGGCGTGTTGACCGTCGTCAGAGGGATGGGAGGCAACCAAGCTATGTACGACTGCGTGGACATGCTGCCCGAGCTTCTAAAGTTGAATTCACTCTACCACTCTCAACATTCAATCTCCACGGAGCAAATTCGCGCGGCTGTTACGAGATACGAAGACAAAATGCTGGATCGGGCCTTTCAATGGGTTCAAAAAAGCGGCGGCATCATTCCACCTGTAAGGCCCTTTGACGTATTCGCGTGATTGACGCCAGTTAACGCCTTAAGTAGGATATAGATCTGAATGGTCTGCTAGGATACATCATATCTCTAATCAACCTTTTAGTCCTGCCAATTGTATTTGCGATCTCCAATTCTTTCTAGTTGTCGAGAACAGATGTTACTGAGCCTCCTGCTGAGCCTCGTGGAGCACAACTCCTCCAGCCTCACTGAGGCATCTGGTTTCGTGCGGAGATATGCCACTATACTCAGCGGTGAATCTTGACCTCTCCAAAGTCCATTTCCGTTTCTAGACCTGAGCATCCCGCCATTTAACTGGAGTCATGACTAAGCCATTCTGAGCTGTGGCTGTGCAATCCTGAGCGCGGCTTGGCGATCCCTGAGGCGTGCCCTGAGTAGCGTGAGAACTGCATAGGTTCCCACAACTTGGCCCCTGGAGTTACCAGTTTTTGGTGTTTCACATATTCGGAGCGCCCAAGTTCCGGGCTTCCTCTCGGTTATTGTTGCCAGTTGGCGCAGGAGTCACTTTTCTGGCTGCCGGGGATGGGCAGCCTTCAATCAATGTGCGGCCTGGGCACCTGCTGGTCTTGATGGTTACGACGTAATTATCCATTGCACGAATTTCCGGGGATGGGCCTCCTGGCTTTGAAATGGCTACTAAGCCGAAATCCTCCCGACTCGTATGTCAACTTGTTTACTCCTGATTCGTCGCTGGCATGGTCCCTCACGTGAGGTAAATTCTATTGGTTTTCACTGGCAGACTCCAGCATTCCCAAATACCTGTGGAGTATTGTATTGAGAAACACGCAACATAGACTGTAGACAATAGCCTCCTTCTTGCTTGATCCGTCTCCCATGCTCAGCAGGACGTTACGACTCCGAACGCTATATGCTCGAGGCACATCTATCTCATCCGCGCAAGGGTCGAAATCCAGAGGGGTTCCCATCACCGGTGGAAACACAGCGCGTTTCTACAGTTCAACACAAGTTGCAGGGAAAATTTCCCCGGATTTGACGATTGCCGCCGCCGCTTTTGGAGGTGGGTTTCCCTGACTTCCCACTCATACGGCCTTCAGTAGGACCAGAAATAGTCCCATTCAGAACCAACAAGAGAATCGTCCACTCTTTGGAAGGATGGGTGCCTTTGACCGTATTGCCCCAACCTTAGCGCCTCAAGGACGCGCAGGGACGATCTTGATGGATCTTCTCACTCTCCCAGAGAGAGAGCCTTTTCTATCCCTCACGAAATCATGTTGAACAGCGTCCCATCTCCCATCTCCTTTCATGCATTCAACCGACTCTATCCAAGTTTCACGTTTGAACCGGTCACCGCGAGCCTTGTCTCTCTCTTTCCGGTGCGGAATCCCTCCACCAACCTTACGTATATGTAACCGCTCCGCACTATCCACCATTGCAAGGGGGAACGAGTTGGACAGAAGAAGGGTTTTTGTGGAGGCTGAGCGGCCGTCATTGTCACGGAACGCGGTGATAGACCGCAGGATACGGCACGTGTAGGACTGGTTGCGCCTGTACGTTACCGTATAGGCCTTAGCAATATCTCTTGGCGGACTCGGGCATAGTGATATCTCACACGTCTTCGCGCCGTGCACTGCGTCCTTTCTCTTTCTTTCCTCAGCTTAGTCTCTTCGTATCTAGGACAATACATACATTCAGAGCTCTCTCTGTTTCCCTGTACTGTACCATCACAGGAACCGTCCATTCATCTATCGTCACGTTCTGCCTATCTCCTAGAGGTATTCCTACTAAATACGACCTGACTGTAGCAGCTTCATTATCACCGTCTTATGGCCGTGCCTTGCCGCCCGTGGCCGCGATGTCCGCCTAAGCCCTGTGCCTTTAGACTCCTGCCTGTTCCTTGCCGCCCGCGACAGCTGTGTCTGGCCAACGTCGGCGCCCGCCTCGAGTAGTAACTTCACCACCGTCTCGTGCCCGTTCTCTGCAGCCCACGACAGCGGTGTCCGGCTATACTTAGTGTCTTTAGACTCCAGGTCGGCGCCCTTCTCGAGTAGCAGCTTTACCACTGCCTCTTGCCCGTTCTCTGCCGCCCGCGATAGCGGTGTCTTACCAAGCCTAATGTCTTTAGACTCCAGATCGACGCCCGCCTCAAGTAGTAGCTTCACTACTACCCCGTGCCCGTTCCCTGCCGCGTGTAATAGCGGTGTCTGGCCAAGCCATATGTCTTTAGACTCCGGGTCGGCGCCCTTCTCGAGTAGCAGCTTTACCACTACCTCGTGCCCGTTCTCTGCCGCCCGCGATAGCGGTGTCTGGCCGAGCTTAGTGTCTTTAGACTCTAGGTCGGCACCCTTCTCGAGCAGCAGCTTCACCACCACCTCGTGCCCGTTCCCTGCAGCCTGCGATAGCGATGTCCGGCCAAGCCTAGTATCTTTAGACTCCAGATCGGCACCCTTCTCGAGTAGCAGCTCCACCACTACCTCGTGCCCGTTCCCTGCAGCCCATAATAGCGGTATCTGGCCAAGCCTAGTATCTTTAGACTCCGGGTCAGCACCATTCTCAAGTAGCAGCTTCACCACTGCCTCGTGCCCGTCCTCTGCCGCCCACGATAGCGGTGTCCGGCCAAACTCAGTGTCTTTAGACTCTGGATCGGCGCCCACCTCGAGCAGTAGCTTCACCACTACCTCGTGTCCGTTCCCTACAGCCCACGACAGCGGTGTCCGGCCATACTTAATATCTTTAGACTCTAGGTCGGCACCCTTCTCGAGTAGTAGCTTTGCCACCGCCTCGTGCCCGTTCCCTGCAGCCCACGACAGCGGTGTCCGGCTATACTTAGTGTCTTTAGACTCTAGGTCGGCACCCTTCTCGAGTAGTTGTTTAACCATCGCCTCGTGCCCATTCTCAGCGGCCCATGATAATGTCGTCCGATCACTAAGTCTCTCCATAGAATTCAGATCAGCGCCCTTCTCACGCAGCAGCTTCACCACCGCCTCGTGCCTATTCTCCACCGCCCATGACAGCGGCGTTCGACCAATTTGGTCCTTGGACTCCAGATCAGCGCCCTTCTCAAGTAGTAGCTTCACCACCATCTCGTGCCCATTCTCTGCAGCTCTCGATAGCGGCGTCTGACCATATCTATCCTTTGACTCTAACTCAATACTCTTCCTCAGTAGCAGCTTCACGACTGTTTCGTTCCCGTGCGCAGCCGCCTCCGGTAGTGGCGACAGATTCTTACGTGTCGGATGCTCCTGCCTAAGGCATATACTTCTCTCGCGATGTCCTAGTTGACTGTAATCATCCGGATCGAATAGTTGGAGTTCACTATTCTCTGTCCTCATAAAATATTCCCCTGTCTCCGACATCGCTCTCATGGAGATTCCGATTTGTTTCCCCTTCTTTGTACATGGAAGGATGGCAAGTATATTTCCTTGATCATCCGTTGTATCCGTAATCCGGAGTATTAAATGAATTCCTTTGTTGTTCACGGCTATGGCACCGCTTAAAGGGTTGGCTGGGATGATTTCGCTGGACTTGGAGAACGCCGCTGGGGAAGTTGCAAGAAGACCGCCAGAATCCCAGGATGATTCCCACGCAAAGAGGCTATGGTCATCCGAAACCTTCATAATTTCTTCTTGAAGCCTTATAAATGCTCTCTTTCCCTCCCCGTAGAGTAGAGGCATATTAATGCCAAATATGCCCATTAAGCAATACGCAAGGTCCTCAACTCTCGTTGTCTCCCTCTTCGAAGCCCATGACATTTTTTGGGCGACACTAGCACATTCGAGGTCCCCCCTAAGGAGAATATTGGCAGGTATACCGGTGATCGCCAATATCGACTCTTGTAGGCTTGACTTGGTTCCAATTTCTTTCCATTCCTGGTTAAGGAATATCACCACTGGAGGAGCGATAAGCTCCTGAAGGGTCCATCCTCTAGTAAACCATTTACTTCTTGAGAATTCAGATTCTTTGCCAGAGCGGTGATTGAGGGTGTTCGATGATGATACATCGGCAAGATAGGCGTAGCACACGACTGATTCCTGGTACCAACGGTACATAGAGTTGATTGCTTCAGAGAGCTCAGCGCTACTTGTTTTGTCAATGCAGCAAGTGTCGATCCAAACATAATCGAACCCATCGGCCGCAGCCATAGTGCAAGTCCTCCTCACCTTTTCATAACCCCTTTTCTTATAGCCCAGCCGTTTCATTACGTTAGCGCCTTTGATATCCTGAAATGTAATTTCATTTTGTCCCCATGTATGTGAAAGGATCGCGTATAGCGGGATCTTGCTACCTCCGAATTCCTCGAGCTTATGCGTAGTAGTGTTAAGAAGACGCATGGTTTAGATATGAGAGTTTTCGGCCCCTTTGACGTGCTTGAAGTATATGTAGCAATTCTCTAGGTTCGCATCGAAGGCTTGGGTCGCTTGGTAATAGATATCAAGGTGTGAAATTTGGGCCTGTTCATGAAGAGTGTTAGCCGGAGGTTTGAAGGTGTCACGGCCCGCCAAGCCCTCCTGGATCCGCTAAGCCAATCCAGGGGGTTGTCACGGAACGCGGCAACAGGCAGTGCACGTGCGAGGCGGGTTGCAGCTGTACACGCACACACCTCGATGCGGACTAACCGTGTTCGGCTAGCCCTTGGTGTGTGAAGTTGCAACTAATCAGAGGCTCTCAAACCGGCTGGACAATGTCCTGCTGGTTTCGTGAAGTGCGCGACTAATCACAGGCACGGTGGTGCAGTGCAGCCGTCAAGGCAACTGCGCAACAAACCGCAAGACCCTCGCTCCGTGCACTGCACACTCTCTCTTTCCTTTCCCCAGCTTAGTCCCTTCGTATCTAGGACAATACATTTTAGAGCTGTCTCTGTTTCCCTGTGCTGTGCCATCACACTTAAGAGGCCTATTGTTCTAGTGCAGATCTTATTTATATAGTTACGCATATCAGAGATTTAACTGTCTTTTATAGTTCTTCTTCGTTCCTGTCAGGGAACGGTCTGGACGGGCAGGTAACAGGGCTGGGCAGGTAGGCAATCAGTGGTTCCAAGAGAGTTTTGACACTGTATCAGGTCTATCCAAAGCTATGGGACTATTGAGTACAAGACGAAAGACGAGGAGCCTCAAGAAGGGTTCTAGTCTTAAGGCGAGCTATATGTGTCACGGTTCAACCCCGCGCGGCCGCGGTCTTGACCCACGACGACCAGAGCTGGTCATATCTAACCCGATATGATGTCAGGGGCGGCGTCGAGGGTGGTGTCGGAGGTGAGGACAGCTACACAATAGTGTGATGGAGGAGACGACGGTCACACAATTGTGTAGTCGTGCCCTGGCGGAGAGAGCGTCAGAGGGGTCTGACAAGGTAAGGTTGACTATTCAAGGCTATGGGTGCTATTGAATACAAGACGAAAGACAAAGAGCCTTCTAAGCCTTGGTCCCTCGAGGGAGTTCATATACCCTCGAGGATCCTCCGTGCCCATTCCTTCTTCCGAGACGTTGCTGTGACAGCCCGTGCATGGAATGCTCCTTCCGAGATGAATTCCATACCTCGGGAGTGCTCGCCCGGGCCTTTGGAACAGACCTTGGGCCCTTGCTGAGACATATTGCCTATTCCGGGCACGACTGGTATGCTGCGGTCCTTGCTGGTCGTATCCGGTCGCGTCTGGCCATATCTGGTCATATCGGGTTAGGTATGACCAGTTCTGGTAGTCATGGGTCAAGACCGCGGTCGTGCGGGGTTGAACCGTGACAACCCGATTGGGTCATGGCGTAAGGCTGCGTCAGCAAGGCTACGCGGGCTTGTGCAGTGACAGTTCCCTTCTTAAAGCTTCCAGAAACTCGGTTTACTATTAATGATACCGGTATCTCATCCAGTACCCTTCTCCATGGCTTTACGAATAGTTTCGTTAGGGCTTTACTTTCTCCTCATTGTGGAGAACTAGAATGGACCGTTAAGACGGGATCGTAGAAAATAGAGACCGAAGAAGAAGGGGAAGAATCTGTGGGCTTAAGTGAAAAGGAAATGAAAAGGAGGAGTATGGTGATGGGTAGACGGGAGAAGGCTCGACCGAGATGAAGGGAAGACTGAAAAGTAGGAAAGACGCGACGTGTACAACGTGCGGGTCGTTCTTAGGAGAGAGAGTCACCTAGGCGAAGCCAACATCGGAAGCGCGATCTATCTTGCGCGCGAAGGGCACAGGGTGCGAGATTGCATCCACTATCTTTGCAAGGTGTCCTAGTTTCGAAGCTTGGGTCCTAAAACTATACTCTCGTGGATAGTCGTGTAAAATTTCCACGTCCTTGACGAGAGACACCCACGAAGATGGCATGAGCATCCAATAACAGCCGGGCCCAGAAACGGGACTGAGCACGGCTGAGAAGGATGAGCAGAGTGAGCACCGACCTGAGCAGGCTGAGCAGCTCGTGCTGAGGCTGAGCCGAAGTTGAGCCAGGTCACCTGATACCTGAGTAAAGCGGCAAGGCACGGTCCCAAACGGGTGCCAAGGCCAGGTGCAGATTCGCCACTGAATACCAGAGGGAATGGAGAACTATGGGGGTCTGCATGTTTAGAAGAGGGTTGTTTGAAAGAATACAGGTCATGTCTATGTTAATTCAGGATCTTCTGGGCGGTTTGGTGACCTCCGAAGGACAGCCAGAGACGCGGACGGCAAATCCCACGCTCGGTCTTCAATCAAATTGCGCCTTCCCAGAATCCTATATGAAGATTACGTTTGATTTTCTCGTGCCAATCAATAGATAGCCCTAATCTGTTCGACCAGCCTTTCGAAAATTAGCGCCCAGCCTGAAGCTGTGTATGATTTGCTTTTCCAAACTTTGGGAACCGAGCGTGTAATGCAAGGGTAAATGAGCAGGGCTGTAGAATACCTACTGCTCAAATGTCAGAATTACGACAATTGAATCACCGCATTGATTAACTGAGAACCATATGTACCATTCATCATAAAAAGGAAAACATCGATGTGGTCATGGTGCTCAGTCTTTGCAGCTATGTAGGTCTAGCTAGATTAAGATTCATTGGTGCCTACTAGGTAACAACGCTGTTGCCTGGTCAAGACGATGTATATAGACAGGTGGGCCGAAGGACACAGGCAGAAGAACATAGACAGCTTGATAAATGCCCAATTGCAACAAGTGAGCAATCCAACACTAGCCTTTCACCCGTATTCGTCCTCCCCCTCTCCTCCCCCTATGGATCTTTCCAACCTCCCATCTATAAGTTGATGATGTGGAAACCGGCTGCTGTAAATCAAAAAAGGATGTATGCTGTTGCAGGCTCTGTAACAACCACTTTTGTGGATGTCTCCCGTTCCAACGCTCCCACAGCGGCTGTGGTATCTGTGCGATAAGGCCGGATAGTACTACGCTTCGTCAGCTAAAGAGTTGAAGCAAAAGTCGATCATACAACCTTTCATCATGTAAGCAGAAGAAGGTTTTCTCTGGCTCTGCCAACCACTTGACTTCTTGAGTTAGAAATTCAGCCGCTGAGCCTTCAAAAGGTCGTCCATTGAGATTTGCTCGACCGCCAGCGCCCAAAATCGCTACATTAGGTTTGGGATCCAGATAACGAAGAATACCCTCGAATGCTCCCAAGTGCGTGTTGAATAGTACCGCTTTGTCGCCTATGATGAAATTATACATCATTTGGCCTCCATCGCAATGAGACATGACGTTTCGTATGCGGTCTTCTACGTAGGTGGCGAAAGAGCGAGTTCCCGCGTCCATCTGATCTTCCAACAGCATTTTCCTCATAGAGAATAAGCCGTACTGCATCAGCCTTGTGATGTCTAGTGTGCAGTCGAAGTCGGTGTTTGATCCTGAATAGCATTTTCCCGTGTCAAAAGTCTCAGGGATGTCGTGAGGAGTCACACCGGGCATTAGAGCATGTAAAGAAGGCCATACATGCACCGCCATCGAGGCAAATTTAGAATCCGGTCTAGGTGGCGCTAAGGGTGGTCCTGGAGCAAGTTCGATGCTCCCAGCAGCTGCTTTTTCCAATATGTCCCTCGTAAATAGTGGAATTCGCTCTCCGCCAGCCACTTGGACCAGTTGAGTTTCTGGAACTCCAGCTCGTCGAAGGCAGTTGATCGCCTCGCCATTACCGATCACTGTGGCTCCAGTTTTGATTGCGAGCCGATCAGCACCTGGTAGACTGGTATCTGCTGAGTCTCAAGGAAAAGACAGCTCAGCTATTGTTGACTTACTGATCGAAATGGGCGTGCGAGATGACGATGTAGTCCAGCTCTGACACATCATCTAGCCCTAGATATCTCTTCATCAAATCCGGCTTTTCCAGCCAGGTGTCATGGAATATGGTGATGCCCTGAGACTTCAGCTTGAACGTTGTAGTACCTGGTATCACTTGTTCAGTGTGGGTCCCTTTTCATGCAAGTGGACGAAAAGTGCTTCGCAGTCAAATTCCAGCAGTGTCTTGGACTTAGAGTTTCCGACATAAACCGTTTGAATTAAGCACGTCACTTCGGCATATAAGGGTGCGTGGGGAGTTACCAAAGAATTCCAAAACAGTACTTGTATCCATTGTGACCACAGTCTCAGGCTGCCGGGTTTTCTGAGATCTGCTTGAGTATCAGTATCTGGCTACATTCGCTTGAAATTTTGGAGAGGAAAAAAAAATTACTTACAAGGCACGAATACGGAGGGATTGTTGCTTCTTCGGCCTGTTGACTCAGGTGCTGGGAGAACAAAGTATTCGAAATGAGCTAGAAACAAGGGAGCCAAAGTCATCGCAACAGCAATCTTACTATCCCCAAGTTTGGACAATTCTATGCTATGTAACCCGGGGAAGCGGCTTCGTCTCTGTAGGTATTGCAAATCCCAGAGATCCGAAAGCTGCACAGACCCGAATTCCTAATAAAAGGCTCGTTATGCCTGGTGAGAACTAGCCTTATACTGATTAAGCCTGGACCCGGGTAACGGGAGCTGGAAGGACGGTCAACAGCAAGCAAGGTAGATCCAGTCCTAGGACCCTGATGAGCACCCCTATAATCACCCATATACGACTCCTATTAGAGCCCTAATAATAGACTTGATCTACACTATCTAAATCTTATACCAGGAACATCTTTAGGTATGCCTATAGGTAGAAACCATTTCTGGGATCATTATAAGGGTCCTTATAGGCACCCTCATAGGCACGTTTGTAGGCATCCCCATAGGTAATTCATCCTTTATTACTTGGTGGTCTCCTGCTGGGTCCGCGTGCCAGCCATTCATGAGCATCTGCCGATTCTATTCCTGAATCTCCAAATCCCCACTTACTTCGCGCCTAAGCCGATCATTTCGGAAAGACATGGCACTAATTTTCGGATGCAGGTTGGCACGGACCTCGTCGGTTGAAGGGCTGGCCAATTACTGAGCCCTACTTTGTCTGTGCTCACTCTGGGTTGGGAGTTGGCTTTCAGAAGGCTGAACCACTTCTTAGGTGGGCTTCTCAAGGCAAGCCTTCGGAAGCAGGGACAACATGAGTTACTGGTCCCCAGCCATTGGACACAATGTACGACTTTCTCTGCGTCTTTATCATGGCGTGAAGCGCACCTTCATATCGCCTGCTAGTGGTCTCTTACGACAAATAGTACTTACGTACCATTTCTTTGCTCCTACACGGTGCGATGGATCTCGCAGAAACTCGCATAATTGCTGGACACGACGTCGAATTTCGTCCATCTCGACGCCTGTTCGACTATGTGTGGACTGAGTTTGAACCCGATGCTCCTACGGTCACCCTTCCTGCTAGGTGGAAGCGTCCTGGTAGACTTCCCCTGCGTGAAGCCTTGATATGGAACAAGGACATTCCAGTCAAATTAAGAGATGGCGTCACAATCTATGTGGATGTATTCCGGCCAGCTTCGAAGGAAAACGAGCCCCTTCCTGCTTTGGTGCCATGGAGTCCCTACGGCAAGACAGGAACAGGTCTTCAACAAACTCACAACTTTCCCTATGTCGCTGTCCCTCAAACCCATACCAGTGGTCTCGAAAAGTTTGAAGGTCCAGACCCGGCAGAATGGTGCCCACGTGGGTATGCCATAGTGCAGCCAGACGCTCGTGGCGCCTTCAATAGCGAAGGTGACGTCTACCATTACGGCACTCAGGTAACCTACTACTGCCCTTGATGGATTTCACAGCGTTCGATGCTGAGTTGGATTCCTTAGGAAGCTCAAGATGGCTATGACACCATTGAATGGATCGCGGAACAGAGCTGGAGTAACGGGAACGTCGGCTTGGTGGGCAACTCGCATCTTGGGACGATGCAGTGGTGAACTGCAAACATCTGCAAGCGGCGGCTTACCTTGAGTCTGATAAATTTTAGGTTTATTGCAGCCCAGAGACCGCCACATCTGAAGGCTATTGCCCCGTGGGAAGGGGTCGGCGATTTCTATCGACAGTCACTTTGTCGTGGAGGAATACCGAATACTGCATTTTGGAGAAAACTATCAGAGGGCATGCATGGTGAGAAAGACATGGTCCCGATCCTCCATCTGAGCAGCTTCGATTTATGTTGTGATAGGGAAAAATCTACGGGAGGATTTCGCTACCATGATCGAAAAGCATCCACATATGAACGAGTACTGGGAGGATAAAAATCCAAAACTTTGCAACATTGACATTCCGATGTACGTCCTGATGAGCTATTCCACCGGCCTTCACACAGAAGGCTCTTACCGGGGCTGGAAATATTCCAAGACTAGTTCAGAGCATAAATGGTAAGAATGGCACTTCCGATGGCATCGCTGTTTCGCTCACACTCAGACCAGGCTCCGCATTCACCCAACTCAAGAATGGCATGACCTGTACCAACCCGAAAGTACAGATGACCTTCAAAGGTTCTTCGACAAATACCTCCTGGGCAAGGATAATGGTTGGGAGTTGACGCCAAAGGTTCGAGTCTCATTGCTGCGGTTCAATCGACCCGCGATTGTACATCGTATTGAGGACAATTACCCACCAACTCGAACACGGTATCGGACCTTCCATCTTGATGCAAGAAATGGATCTTTGTCCCCAATACCCATCGTTGGTGCTGGCTCGGTCTCCTATGAAAGCGATCGGTTGGAAGACGACGGTGCTCATTTTGTGTACACTTTCAAACGTTACACCGAGATTCTTGGGCCGTCAAAATTGAAGCTGTTTGTATCAACAAAAGATCTTGATGATATGGACATTTATACCATCATCCGCAAGCTCGATCAGAGGGGAAACCCCCTCATAAACATCAACATCCCTCTCAACAAGCAACCTCCAGGCGCTCAGATAGAAGACATTGACGACTCGAACCTCTACAAGCATCTCGGCCCAACGGGGAGGTTAAGAGCATCGAAGCGTGCACTTGGTCAGGACCCCCAGTTGACTGGAGCGCAGCGTGAGAGCCAAACGCCGACAGAGCTATGGTTTCCCTACGATCGGGAGGAGAAGGTGTTGCCTGGCGATATCGTGGAGTTGGATATTGCCATATGGCCTGCAGGGATGGCTTTGGAGGCCGGTGAATCAATACGTTTGGAGATAAAAGGGCACGATCATCATTTGCACGAGTTTGAAGGTGTCTGGGAGGCCCTCACAAACTTGAATAAGGGAGTGCATACCGTCCACACAGGTCCAAAAACACCCTCTCAGATCCTCCTGCCGTTGATAGAATCATGACCTTATTATTCTACGAGAGCTTTTAGAGTCAATGAGGCCGTTTACTATAAGGATGCTAAGCTCTACAGTGAATGAGTCGGCTAGAGACCTTCAGAAATGCTCGTGTTTATTTATTTTAGCATCGCCATTCGAGATAGCGTGGCAACAACTTTTGGTGCGCAACCTCCGTGCTGAGGTCCTCACAGGCGGGGCCAGATCAACCATTCCCGGGGCGATTATGTGGGGTTGTCATTTGCAGCTCTTTTTCCCCACAGCTTAAGTACATAAACCCTTTCCCCCCCTCCCCCCCGGGTCGGCGGTTGGTGTACGGTTCCTCGAGTTGTGCACTGCCTTTCGACTAATGGAGATTTCGCCTAACATTCAATTATCGCCCACTTGTTCCTTTATCCTTGATTCTCATTGACCCAGATGCCTACGAAGCGGGTCAGCAGCTGGGAAAGGCGCCGATGTGTCAAAGCGTGTACAAATTGTCGCAGAAGAAAGGAACGGTGCAACGGGGCAGAGCCCTGCAGTCGTTGTATATGCAGGAGAGTTAGTGAACAATGTTATCTCACAGATCAAGATCCTCGAACGAGCGCTCAAGCTGCTTCTGTGCACAGCCAAACCGACAGCTGCAACAATAACGTCAGGACAGCCAGCGAGGATAATAATGACAACCGTGGCTGCCGTACGGATAGCGGGACCATTGCTACTCACGATAATGCTCAGTACCAATCCTCGACAACGGAAGATTATGATCCTCCATCATCACTTGCTCATCCATTTTCCTTCTCTACAGGATCGCGACCTCTCTTGCCAACCATGACAGCGACTCAGCAATGGAGCCTCATCCGGGATGGCCCTGCCAGCCATACCCTCCTCTATAGCTTAGCTAATATGTCATTTCTAGAGGATGTCCAAAAGCTGGTACAAGGTATTCAGGGCAACAACGCTTATGTCAGTGACACCTGGTCCTGTTACCATCAACACCTTCCGATAGAACCAATCATTACCGTTGAAAAACTTGGGCTCGAAGACGCAACACATCTCGCTCATTGGTATTCATGGACTACTCAAGGTATCCTGGACATTTTTGATGGATCTGAGCTGCTTGAGCAACTGCCCAAGTGGCTCGAAGAGCAGCCTTTGTCCCAACATCCACTCGATGCCATCTTCCACATGGTCATGGCCATCGGGCTCCAAACCTCGCCGCAAGACAGAGACGACGCGGCGGAGAAATTTTTTCGCTGTGCCTATTGGAAAACGTTCAGTTCGATGGAAGAATCCAGTATCACAGCGTTGCAAGCCTCTACGCTGATCACCTGGTACTTGCTCTGTTCCGGACGAAGAAATGCCGCGTTCCTGCATATAGGTCTTTGCGTCCAAGCTGCTCATGCTCTAAATCTTCACCGTGAAGAGGTCTCTGCGTTGCTTTCTCCCAGCGAGTCGAGAAAAAGAGAAAGAATTTGGAAAACAATTCGAATTCTGGACGGCTACATGGGCACTACCCTCGGCAGACCTCCCTTGACCTACTACCAACTACTGGATGACAGACATCCAACGACATATTCCGCAAGTTACAGCCTCATTGACGTGTTTTCGGTGATCCTACGAGAAGTGATCAATCGGCGCCATGTTTCGGAAAATGCACTTAATCGAGTCAGTCACCTTCTGCGCATGTGGACTAGTTGTCTTCCTGAGGGTCTAGCGAACGACCAAATCCAATCCGTACCTGAAATTGATACGAAAATGGGTAAGCGCCCCAAATAGGATTGCTTCATCTGAAACAATCGTATTACTTTACGATTATTCTCGCGACCCGCCATTATCTTCTTGAGAGGGTGTGTTCTCGTGCCTTATTGTACGAGAATGCTTTCAACCATCCGGCAACGCAGCCAGAAAGAGATACGTTGGTCGACGCATGTTTATATTCGGCAATGTGTACTGTTAAGATGTTTGAAATATTCCTGACAGCTGAGGATCGACCGAAAAGGCTACACATGATCATACACGGCATTTTTGTCTCGGCCCTTGTCCTTGGCGTTGGTCACTTTGGCGATCTCGACTTGCGATTCCCGATTGATCAAAGCCTTGCAAAGGCTTGCGAATTGCTTGACTTGTTCGGGAGGCGGGACTCGCTTGCTCAGACGAGCAAAATCATCGTCGACGGACTCCAAATAGCATGCAAAACCTACGTGAGGACAAGAAATGATCGAAGTTGCAAAGACCAGCTCCAGCAGGTCAAGCGGCTGTTTGGCGATGTTGAGAGTCAAACTTCTCTAGTTGAGAAGGCAGAATCTCCAGCCACCCAACCACAGCCACCACCCAATTTCGAGGAGCCCGTTCAGTGTGCAGCTCCGGAATATCGGTCCTATCCAATGGTTGAGTCAGAGAATCAGGTCTCCGATTTCTCGCTTAATCCTCTGCCAGCGGGATTTGACGACCAGGTCGAAGAATATCGACTTGACTCAGCCATACTTGGCAATCCTGGCTTGATGTGGGATGAATCTTCCACAGATTTCAGCGTTAACGCATACGAGGACACAAATTCATTCTTCACGCCACATGCTTCAGCGACAGCAGTGTGATGTGCAACCCAGACTTTCGCCGCAAGGAACTAAAAAGATTCCGTGGCACTTAGTTGATCGAAGCCTCTTGAGTTCAATTAATCAGCAATTCAACGAGGCGAGCGTTCTAAGATTCGGTTGGGGCCATTCCAATGAGGAAGTTGTCCTGATTTTCCACCAAGAAGATGACAACATCTTGAGCCAGCCTATGTTCAGCCTCGTCAATTCTTTGTGGCCTTTGGGACAAGACTGCGGGATGGAAGACGCTGACCAGGCGCGGGCACTCCATTTTATTGACGTCACCCTTCGATGCGAACACAGCTAGGATATCGAGCAAGTAAAGGAGAAGTTGCCGACTAAGCGGTGGTAGCTCCTTGATCTTTCGCTGGAATTCTTTGATCAGAGAGTCGTTTGTGTTCTGGTCAAACATTCGACTGTTCGGTTGTATTCGCAGCTGCTCTCGGAATTTTCGAGTGAATGGGTCGTAATACTCGTACGGAATCACAGGTTCTGGAAGACATTTTAGGTACCTCAGGAGAACCGCTGCGCAGTCGTGAATCGTGAAACCGTCCCAGGAAACGCCCTTTCCGTACCGGGGGGGACTATCAAATGCCCTTTCCAAAGCTTGTACTCTTTTCGGATGCCCACTTGTTGCGAATATATGCTCGACATCCGTTCCTAAGATCCAAAATTAGTATGCAGAAGACTCCAGTGGCAACAACGTACCTTTCTCTTTGAGAAATACCCCACATTTAGCTACTACTATAGGGATATAGCCATAAATAAATGATTCCCCTTCCTCATTTTGTAGGCTGATTGCGACATTGGCATAATAAATGCTGGTCATTAATTCAACACCAAAGATCCCCCGAGCATTTGGGGATGGAGCATCTTCGTGGCGTTCCCCGTCTGATCTCCTCCGCCATTTTGAGAATAGGCGCCTTCCGGGTGATGGAGAGTCTTTTAGGGCATTGTCGGCGGAAGGATCAACGGGAACAGCCGGTTCCTCGGTGATCGCCTCAAAGTCATACCTTTCCTTATTATCCAAATCGGATGCGTATATGGGTAGCGCCAAAATTGCAATGTTGGACATCTGTGATAAGCTCAATCCTGAGAGCATAGACCATGTTGCGGTTCTGCCAGCAGAGCTGAGGATCGAAAACGTGTCACTCTCGTCGGAAGCCATGTTTCGGTAGACTCTGGAGTTCATTAACAATTCCTCGAAGGCAAATTTCCGGGGCCCTTGTTCAGCGGCTGACTCGAAAGCCTGTTCTACTGGGAGTGATTCATCTGCGTTGGCGCGGATTTGCCCTGTTCCAGGAAGCGGCTCCGTCGCTGTTAATACCTGAGTGCTGTCGGGCACCACCGTGGAGCCTGTCTGGAAAGAGGAGAGTCTCTCCGCAAGCATCACGTTTTGTTTCAGCGTCTGCTCAACAAGATCACAGAGCTTGTCGACCTTTTCTTCCGCGTCCATAGTACTCTGGCTACCCCATTCAGATCAGCCAAAGCGCAATACTTGCCGACAAAGCACAACTCACCATGTCAGGATTGTGAGCATTAGTCCCATCGAATTTTTATGCAGCTCCAGCTTCTGAATTAGTTCCTTGAGATCTTTCTCCTTCGTCAGCCAGCGCACTCGGTCCATCAAACCCATTCTCTCATCCGAGTCCAAGGTTTCCACAAAGACATCGAGCTCCGAGAAGGTTGTGACTGTCGCGGCGAGAGTCGCGACCACCTGTTCCACCAGAATGAGAGAAGTTCTAGATCTAGAAGCCTTGGACGCCCCAAGTACGAAAAGCTGCAGCTGCCTCAGAATATTGCGAATATCGTCGACTTCGTTGCGCGCATCCTTGACCTCCTTTGGTGCCTTCTTCACCCGTTTTGTGAAGGTGTAAAGGGTCTGCGAAATCTGTGCTGCTGCCGTGAGCAGGCCGACTACACTTGCGGCAACTGATAATGGGTCGGCCATGCCTTCGAGGTGCGATAATAACGATAGGGCACCTGTCCCACTTCGATTTGGATAAGAAAGAAGCTCACATCAGTCTTTCAGCCTCACCGCAATCGCTTTGAGCTGCCCTTATTTCCCAGCAAGAAATGCACGTGAAATTTGTTTCTGGCCCGTTACTGCCCTTGCCCAGCTAGGCCCGATCCGAGGCTGTAGAAGGCGTCCCCGCAGTATGCCCCGCCACACGAGTGTGCACCTCAGCTACAACAACCCTTTTCATCTGTTCATATTGGAACCGATCCTGAACCGTTTTGATTGCAACTTGAGGTGGCAGCGCAAGTCGGAAAAATAGTCCTGAGGGAACTCTTGGCAGCAATAACCGAGCTGGGAGCCTGGAACTTGGCCCATCCGAACAAGTGAAACACCAAACGCTGAGAATCTGGAGGCCCATTTTACGGTGCCTGCACAGGCTCACTGCAGTGCTCCCGCTACTGAGGGCACTACTCAGGGCCCACTAAGCCACGCCCGGGATCGCACAGCCACAGCTCAGTGTAGATTAGTCATGGCGCAGGGCTTTGGAGAGGTCAAGATTCGCCGCCGAGTATATTGGGATTTACTTGATCGCTAGTCTTGATCTGGGGTGTAATTTCACCTGGTCCCGGTTCTCGAGTATTCGTTGCAATATGAGCTCCTTGGAAGTTCGAAGGGAGGGACAATCGAGCCATTCCGATTCCGCAATACTGGCTGTTAAGAGCCGGTGACCACGCGCACAGAGGGCATTCCCCCAGTAATTGGGCGAGTAGAAGAGCCTGCATCATCGTCGATATGGGACTTCGACGAAGTATCTTGTACCTACACTTACCTCAGGTTGAATAACACATACCACAGGCGGAGGAGGCGATTCTTCAACGCGGAGCATTGGCGAGAGTATGGGGTATGTTTAGCCAAGAGCAAAAGAACCTTTGGTGCGTATAGCCGATCAATGACAGAGGTGCGGGCTTGCTCGGGGGAAATGCCGAATACCACGGCTTGCTCCGTGCGAACTATCTTGCTCTATCCTTCCACCGGCAGTGACGGTTACCTAGCTCGCTGCTCGAACATGAATACTGCGACCCAATGCTGAAACCTTGTTGTCAAAGTATTGATGGCGATGGTCTCGGTAACCCGCAGTCCGCCCAACGACACGATCTCAAGGTGTTGTATGTACCTTGCAGAGCAATCGCGTGCGTGTTGTCTGTGTCAGTAGCCGACGAAACTATTTTTCCATACTTCGCACGCGTAAGCACCCGGAGTAAACCTGAACACAACACACAGGTCAGAGACTTTGCATCACCATTCGGCAATTTTGCATGTCGACTTACGAGGCACCCAATTTACAGATGGGAAGAAACACTGTGGACTCCTTTCTCCAAGGTTGACAGCACGCGGGAACGTTATCCACCGTACTTAAGAATGGCCCGGCTGTCTGAAACACCAAGCCTGGTGAGCCGAAGGCCTTATAGCCTTCTTTCTCCCTGAAAGCCGAATCTCTTTTTCAGTGATGTTGCAGAGCATTACCAGACTCAGACATGATCCACATGCAACTCCAATATTGATCTGCCCACACAATCACCGTCGGCATGAGCTCTGGGGCAGGTACAAATACTCGGGGCGAAACCCCGCGTTTCGATGTACTCCAGGTTTGCGATTCCACAGATAGAACTCGTGTTCTTGCTTAGACTGCAGTCAGGTACGATATAGACGGTTTTTTTCAGGACACACCACACCATGGCCAGAGATTGGTTCAAGCCAGGTCGGTCTATCCAACTTGCCATTACTTATACGTGTTTGTCGGCCTTTGTACTGTAAGTCTGGGAGCCCTTGCAGTTGGCTTGTCCGATCGTCTTCTCGCAAACCACTGACGAGACCTGTGCAGTTTTGGTTGGGACCAGGGCGTTTTTGGCGGCTTGATCACGAACCCCGATTTCCTCGACATTTTCCACCATCCTGACCCTGGGTTTCTCGGCATCATTGTCTCCATTTACAATGTCGGCTGCTTTCTCGGATGTGCCATCAACTTCTTCATCGGGGCTCGATTTGGCCGCCGGCATGCGATTTGGGCAGCAATGTTCTGCATTGCTCTTGGAGCAGTCATTCAAGATTCTGCCTATTCGGTACCTCAACTGATGGTCGGACGAATCATTACCGGTCTCGGTGTGGGCATCGATACATCCACAGTTCCGATGTATCAGTCCGAGTTGTGCAAAAGAGAACATCGGGGCCGGCTTGTCACCTCGGAGGTGCTCTTTACGGCCGTCGGGGTATCCATAGCCTACTTTTTCGACTACGGAATGAGCTTCGCTACTGGACCGATCGCGTGGCGGCTTCCCATCGCTCTCCAGATCCCCATGGCAGCCAGTGTTGCTCTTTTGGTGGTGGGGCTGCCAGAAACGCCCAGGTGGCTGATTCAGCAAGGCCGAACTGAAGAAGGGGTGGCTGTTCTGTGTAAAGTCTGGAATACCGTTCCTGAGGATCCCGTCGTCGAGACCGAGAAGAGAGACATTCTCCAGGCTATTGCGTTGGAGGAGGCAGAGCCTTTCAAATGGGCTCGCATCTTCAAGCGCGATCCTGTTCAGACCGGATGGCGCGTATTTCTCGCCTGTTTGGTGTTGTTCATGAATCAGGTTAGTCTTCTGGGACGGGTTGCTTGGTAACCATAACAATGCTAATCGGACATGCAGTGGGCGGGGATCAACGTCATCGTCTTCTACTCAGCAACTGTGCTCGAGGTCAACGTCGGGCTCAACCGTAATACTGCCATTGTGGTGGGCGGCTGCTTGAATCTAGCATTCGCGGTCGGATCACTGGTCCCAGCCCTTGGAGCTGATCGTCTAGGCCGGAAGAAGCCCATGATGTTTGGAGCGATCGGTATGGGCCTTTCTATGATGGTGGTAGCCATCTTGCTCTCTTATAGCGGAACGGACAAGGGAAAAGCCACAGCTAATGTTTCCATTGCATTTTTCATCACTGTGAGTTCGGGCTCAGGTCATTTGCACCTACTAGACTAACTACTATCTCACAGTACATGCTCTCGTTC